CACACACACACACACACACACACACACACACACACACACACACACACACACACACACACACACACACACACACACACACACACACACACACACACACACACACACACACACGGGCAACCGAACACCCTTCACAATGACAAGTTCACAGTGTTCTATCTATCCCACTATCAGTGTTAGGAACAGCGACACAATATCACACAGTTTTGAGCATGTGACAGCTGCATGTGACAGCTGCATGTGACAGCTGCATGTGACAGCTGCAATGCCTAGTGCCGTATTAAACGCTACAGTGACGCGACCACGAAATGCCAACAGCAGTAAGGAACGCAAGAATTCCAGCCACAGAACGCAGCAAACAAGAGAACATATCAAGTATGCAAGCAAGAGAACGCAGCAAACAAGTGTACGTATCAAGTATTCAAGCAAGAGAACAACGCAGCAAGTGAGCTGGTACTCTCACGACACTTGCCATTTTCATCTTCCGACTTTTGCCAGTTAATATTATATTGTGCGCGACAGGTGACCGTTCTATAGGTGTGGCCTTACTACAGAGGTAGTCGTTCTATAGAGGTGATAACGGGGCCCCAGTGTCACAGGCCTCTAGTAACTCTGTCATCATCCTTAGATACCACTGCAGCCAGATCCTGACAACAATCACAATGTCCAGCATCCCTAGCAATCATCACAATTTCTAACATCCATAGCAACCAACACATTTCCAGCATCCCTAACAACCGTCTCTCTCAGCATCCCTAGAAACCCTCATTCCCGACATCCCTAGCAACCGTCACTCCTGACATCCCTAGTAACCGTCGTCACTCCCAGCATCCCTAGCAACCGTCGTCACATACGGCATCAGCCGCGCGGCATTGAACGTCCGTCGCGACGACTCGCCTCGCCTCGCCGGCGCCCCCTACCCCCGCCATCACTCGCCTCCTCCGCTGCGCGTCCCTGCGGCAACCGCCTCCTCTCCGGCGAGCAGCAGCACGTGCGCCTCGTCTCCGCCGTCGCCGCGGCGACCGCGGTCGAACAGCGCCGTCAGCTCGCCGTTCTGCGCGCCGCCGCCGCCAGGGGTCGCCGCCGCCGCGTCGAGCGCGCGCACGACCTCGCGAAAGTTCGCGACGCTCAGGTCGACGTCGCGGAACGCGTGCAGCAGGAAGATGGCGCCGACGATCGTCGCGAAGCCGCACAGGATCCCGACGACGTCCTGCGCCGCCAGGTGGCGCCACTCCTGGAAGAGCAGCGCCGAGGCGACGATCGTGAACGTCGTGAAGAACACGTAGTATATCGGCGACACGACCGACGTGTTGAACGTGTCGAGAGCGCGGTTCAGGTAGTTCATCTGAACGGTGACGCACACGGCGACGGCGCCGACGAAGAACCACGTGAGAGGGTTCGCGAACTCGGACGACGAACCTCCGGAGAAGGTCTCGGAGAGGGCGACGCCAACGCCCTTGCACGCCATGACGGAGAGCGAGCCGACGAGCGAACAGATGGCGATGTAGACGAGGATGTTGTCGCTGCCGTGGCGCGGCGCGTAGTAGAAGATGAGGACGAGAACGACGACGACGACGACGAACGCGTACGTGACGAACGCTGAAACACAAGAGCAGCCGCGGCGCGATTAACACAAGAGCAGCCGTACGTGACAACGACGACGACGACGAACGCGTACGTGACGAACAGCTGAAACACAAGAGCAGCCGCGGCGCGATTAACACAAGAGCAGCCGCGACATGATTAACACAAGAGCAGCCGTACGTGACGACGACGACGACGACAAACGCGTACGTGACGAACGCTGAAACACAAGAGCAGCCGCGGCATAAAACAAACGCTGAAACTCAATCTTGAGCAGCCACGGCGTAACGAACGCTGAAACACAAGAGCAGCAGCGCCCTCTGACAAACGCTGAAATACACAAGAGCAGCCGTATGTAATACAATCTTCGCCGCTGCTCTCTTCCGCACTCGGCGGTACCATCGCCGCCTACAGATGGCAGCAGCACCGTCGTCGCCCCGCGTACACAGGTGGCAGCACCGTCGTCGCCCCGCGTACACAGGTGGCAGCACCGTCATCGCCCCGCGTACACAGGTGGCAGCACCGTCGTCGCCCCGCGTACACAGGTGGCAGCACCGTCGTCGCCCCGCGTACACAGGTGGCAGCACCGTCGTCGCTCCGCGTACACAGGTGGCAGCACCGACTCACCGGGGTCGACGAGCTTCGCAGCGAGTTCCTCCATCGTGTCGACAGCCGGTTCCTTCGGCGAGTGTATGATGATCATGAGCGCACCGACCATGCACAGGAAGCAGCCGAGCTTGCCGAGGATGTTCAGCCGCTCGTTGAGGTAGCGCGACGCCAGCACCGCGCTGCC